ATTATTATTATTATTATTATTATTATTATTATTAGACATGTAGGGCATACAAGTGCTCGGTGCTAATTAATAGAAACAATTTGGTATCACGTCTTCGTTTGTCTTATCTCTGAACTTGATTGACTGAGAAGGTGGCATTTTAGTTAAATGACCACTTAACAGAGTTTACCGCCACAAACTTAATAGGCGTTTCTGGTCAGCGGTTAATCTGACAAGCGCAAGTCATACTTTATTACAACTGGAAGTAAGAGTTATAACGCAGCTTTTCAGTGGTTTTTTATTATAGGTCTCGAGCAGTTTTTTAGCTACTGTTTTTCCCCTGCCTTACCCATCCTTACTTTCTTTTCCTTTCCCTGATCTTATCTGTGTTTAGGGATACATGGAAAGGGGACCCATGGCTCAATAGTAGATATTTGCCAGAATTATATCTGAACGTCGGACAAAATGAGAGGCCTTAAATACCCCTATCACCCAACTTCCTTAGAAGTGAGACGGCTCGTCCACAAAAACTTTACAAACTACTGAGAGACTTAGAACGCTGTGCCTGCAGGAGCCCGTTCACCTCCTGGAGTTCTTCTTCATTGGACTGAAGACAAGTAGCTCTTAAATGAGTCAGATCTAGTTCATCTAGACTGTTTACAAAAACATCTGGAAAACAAAATACACTATCATCTGTCTAAGGAATTTACACTTGAGGTACACTTACCAGCGAGCCAATTCTCGAATGAGAAAAATTTTGAAGAAAAACAAATTTTTGCTCCTTTCAACACAATAAAAATCAATTGTTTAATACGGCCCATCAAAGGTACTGTTCGTATCACTTCAGGGCTAGGTTGACTTGTTTAGTTTATTTCTTTGTTCCTTTGACCTTTACGTTTGACTTAGGGGTAATGTTGTGAGGAAAAATTACTGAGTTACTCTTAGAGGTTAAGTATTCGGATTAAATTTCGCACTGCGATAGTCAAATCGTCAAGAATCGTGTACATGAATGTTCGGTGTTGCCAGGTATAAGTAGAAGTAGACATCTATATTTATACAGGATAGCCCCTTCAGTGTAGTAAATACTGGCATCAACGGGGGTCCTGTTACCCACCCATCCC